ATGCGAAAGGACAGCTTTAGACCCGCGGGCCGCATTTGCCAGGGTGCCGAAAACGCATTGAGCATTTTATGAGGTGTATCGCCAAAGCTCGTTGCTATATTGTGAATGGCAAGCCCTGGGACGCTGAGGATACTCTTGACGTTGATGTCGGTGCTGAAGCAGGTCGAGCTTTCAAGCGCGCCTTCGTGGACTTCTCGGAGGGCCACCGCGAGCTTCTAGTTATTTTAAGATCGGGCCCAGCGGCTTCAGAAACCAGACGCTGAACAGGGTTGCCCTGCACGCATCGCGGAGTTTTGAACCATGCTTTCGGCGCATGTGGGCTGACTGCCCGGGGCGCGCCGTGAGGATGCAGAGCACCACAGCTTTTGTTTTCATGATTTCGGTTCTTTCTGGACCTTTTCGCCGCGGGTTCTGGCGGAGTCGGGCTGGGTAGCCTTTAGCTGCTGCTCGAACCATTCCACACGAAATGCTGTGCTCGCAGCCGCTTGCACGATGGGTGTGCGCATTCTTCAAGGCGGCCTTTACGAAACTGTATCTCTTGCGCCACATCGAGTTGGCCAAATGCGTTTTGCTGGAGGTAATTCGTCTTACCTTACATGTGTTTACCCCTTTAGTTCGTGCGTTCCATTCACCGTCTTGATATCTTGTTTGTTTTGGTGTCAAGTGTTGTTGTATACTGTGCTTGATGTGTGTTCTTGCATCAGTGCTTGGTGCTAGCTAGGTCTTTGCATCTGTTACTCGAGCGTGATATGGTGATGGTCCGTGGTTTATTTTGGTTTCACTTGTTCTGAATGTTTGCTTTTGGCGCCTGTTCGTACTATCTGCTTTGGGTGTCTCTTATTGACGTATGTTGTTGATGTATGTCCTGGGTGGTGCTCTTGGTGCCTGTTTTTGAGGTGGGTTCGTCATGCCGATGTTGGTTGTCCTTTCTTGATATCAGTTCTCAATGACGCGACGCCGCAGCGGCTGGCATGTCTGACTGGTCGTGGCATGGCTCCATCTCTTCGATGCTTGGTGCCCGGCGAGGCGGGATGCTCAGGGATGCCCGGGCTTCCTGGGTCCACGCGGCCGCGGAACGCTCGCTGGCGGGCTCGGCGGGATAGCCGGGGTTTTGGCGGCCGCGGTGTGTGTGTGTGTGTGTGTGTGTGTCACCACCTTCCAAACCACCCCAACCCAACCCGAAGGCTCAGATTTACTTTCGATTTCCAGTGGGGGGGGGGTCGGGAAACATCGAAAAAACACATGTGGAACCCTTACCCCATCCCGAAATTCGGGTCTTCGGGTTGGGTTGGGGTGGTCTGGTAGGTAGTCAGTGTGTGTGTGTGTGTGTGTGCGTGTGTGTGTGTGTGTGTGTGTGTGCGGTGGCGGACGAGCGGGGCGGGACTGTCGGGATGCTCGGCACCGCTGAGCCCGACGGCCGCCGTCGTGGCAGGCCGGGGTGGCGTCGCGTGTTTCCGCCGGTGGCCCCGGCAGGCCGGCGGGCCCTGGCCTGTCGGGCCGGGGGGGAAAAATGTCCCCAGTGCTTTGCCTGCAGGTTTGAGGGCGAGCTCTCCAGGGGCCACAGGAGGTCTGAGGCGCCTCGGGGTGGGCGTGGGCCGCCGAGGCCCGCGGCGCACAGCGACCCGCAGAGAGGCAGCGTCGTCCTTCCGGAGCCCCTGCTCCGAGAGGCTGATGCGGTTTGGCGCGGTGGCCGCCGCCTACACGAGGAGGAGGAGGAGAAGGAGAAGGAGGAGGAGGAGGAGGCGGAGGAGGAGGCGGAGCAGAAGGAGCCGGAGGCGGCGGAGGATGGGGAGGAGGAGGAGGAGGAGGAGAGAGGAGGAGGAGGAGGAGGAGGAGGAGGAGGAGGAGGATGGAGGAGGAGGAGGGGAGGAGGAGGAGGAGGAGGGTAAGGCAGCGTTGGCCGCCCTCGTGGCGCCCAGGGCCCGGGGCAGGCGGCGCCCCTCCTCCCGCGAGGGGGCGCGCGAGGGGGTGCGGGCCAGGCCGGGCGGGTGCGCTAGCGGAGGGCCTGCCCGGTCTGGGCAGAGCCCGTGTCTCGGCATCCCCCCAACATACTTATACTATGTGTTCGTCGCCCCCCCAGGGGCGACGCGCGCACTGAGAAATCTTGTAGTATATGCGTCGTGGCGGGCGCTTTCTGGCCACACCGCTCGGGAAACGATATACTACAAGATGGGTATACTGTATGTTCGGGTCGGACGCGCGCCTCCAAGGAGGACATATAGTATTAGTATGTCCATGTGCGTCCCACGTGTCTCGGGCAGGCCCGCGACTAGGCCGAATCGTTCCGGAGCGTTCCAGATAGCTCCCCAGAGATCCAACGCATTGAAAAAATCAAGACGGAGGTTTTTCGCAATTTTCGGCCTCAAGGGGCCCTCGCTGGGCCCCGGGACCGTCAAAAAACGACTCAGGATGAAAAACCGGTCCCGGGGAACGAGTCGAGACCTCCGGGGGCCCCGTATTGAAAAAATCACGACGTCGGATCTCTGGGCAGATAGCTCTCAGAGCGTTCCAGAAGGCGCTGAGAATCGGGGGCCCCCGAACGGTGTGATGGCCGCACCACGTGGTGAGTCAGCGTGGCGCCGGGTTCACCGCACCTTTTTGGGGCGAGGACGTCTCGGGCGACCAGGGCCTCCGAGGTCCGGTGGTCGTGCGGTGACGGACCGCGCGGTGAGGTCTCTTGGGATTTCGAGGTCACTGCGCGGTCTGTCACCGCATGTTTTTTTGGACCCCCAAGGGAAGGCCGCGGCGCGGCGCCCGATGCATCTATCAGAGCCGCCAGATCTGACAGTGTCCCATTTTTTTGCCGTCCAAGTTCGTTGCGTTCTTTGCTTCGTGTGTCTCAGGGGTGCGAGGTCCTTGGCACGGAGGCTCTCAGCAGCATCGTGCGGTCGCCTGCCGAGCCTGCTGGAAAGAGCCTGCTGGAGGATGACGATTAATAAATGACCGGGGGTCGTGTTCACGCGGCGGCGCTCGGGATGGCGATTAGAAAAAACCGGCCGCGGGCTGGAAAACTATTTGTTTTAATCGTCCTCCTCCAGTCAGAAACTTGTGCAGAGATAGCAGAAAACTATTTTTTCAATCGTTCCCCCCATTTTTTTATTAATCGTCATCCCGCATTACGCGAACCGGTCCGGTGCGCGATACGGCTACGGCCGAACCGAGCCAGCGCGTGTGTTTGATGCCGGGGGGCCGCGTGCCGCTGGACGTGCGCCCGCGGGCCGAGGAGAGCTTTTCGAAGTTCGGTGGCAGAGCCGAGTGTGGCTGCAGTGGTTCGTTGCTTCTTAGTTGGGCCTCAGGGTATAAAGGGTGCCACCATCCGCGGCGCTCAGACATGTGACAAGTGAGAGTGGGCGGGGGCCTCGCGTGGCCAACCCGGGTCTTCCCGGGTGTATATCCAACGACCTGTTGCTATCGCGAAGACGCATGGGATTCGGAGCCCCCAGAGCTGGGCTCCCAGGGGGTATAGCTAGCACGTGTCGATTATGGCCTCGTAGACACGCGCGTGGCCGACCGTTTCCAATTGGGGGAGACCTGTGCCGTCTTGAGACGTTCTCGAGCTGGTTTGGTGCCATGCTAGGTGTGCCTCGGAGGCCAGTTGGGGGCCCGTGGTGCAATGTGGTGCAATCGTGGGGCAATCATGGGGCCATGCCCATTTTTGGGTCGTTGTGTTGGGGCCTCGGAGGCCTCTGAGGCCCATCCAACGACCATCGTAAACCAGGAAGCGGGAAATGACAGCGCCATGTGAAAATTCGAAAGAGTTAGGTAATCTTGGACTCTCGGGGGCCCCTCTGCGGAGCCACCTGAGAGCCCGTGGTGGCTTTCGGCACGAAGATGGGGCCTTCTTAGGGCCACCCATCGCCAAGTTGGACCACCGTGCCCACCCAGAGAAACCATATCGGGCCATCTCGTCAGGGGGTTAAAAGATACCGAGACAGCTGCTCGTCCTGGAGAGCTCTTGTCGCCACGGCTGGATTATCTTCGAAACCACGGTCAGAATGCACCCCTCAAAATGCGCGGGGAGTAGCGGTATCGGTATCTTGTTGTTTCCCCATCTCGGAGGGCCTCCTGGACCTGGCGGCCAATTTCGGGCAGAGGGGATCAGGGGGAGGTGTACAGCCAAACGCCCCCATCGCCTTCTAACCCATGACAAGCTAGGGTCGGCGGATTCGGCCTTGTGTCTCTGAGCGATAAGGAGGCAAATCCGGAGGGGATGGGGTCCATGTTCGATTCGTCATTGTTGGACCTATCTTCCCTGACCTCCACTCTGAGCCAGCTGTCACAAGCTCCGAAAGGTGTGTGGGCGTGCTGTGAGATGAGCGACTTAATCAAAACAGAGACTGTTGCCAGAACGTACAGCAAAGCGGCAACCAGCTTTGCTTTGCACGATGTGACACCAGAAGACATACTTATCATGGAGAAAATCGATCCTTACACGATCGTGCTCAAGAGGCAGAAGATTGGCAGCAGCAGTGAGGTGGTGCTCAGGAAATTCCAGAACAAGAAAGCATGGGGTGACATGTACGCGAAGTTCATGATGCACAATCCGAACGACTGCGTCCTCGTCAGTGCAGAGCCATGTGTCTCCTATCCTGCTGTGCTTCGGCAGACCATCGGTATTAGGTCCGCTGAGTACAGAAACCTCCTGACGTCCATCATCAGGAAACTGCTCCCAGATTGGTTGCGAGCGGAGCTCACAGCGGATGGCGGCAATGACTCGGACCCTACAGACAAGAACGGGCACATGATGTACGTGGCGTCCCTGATCACGATGCTATCGACCCGCTCTTGGACAAAGGCTGAGGGCCAGGCCATGGATTCTATGATACGGTCAAATTACAAAATTCCTTTCAACCACGACTGGGTGGATGATTTCGGAAAGGTACTCAAAAAGATCTGGAACAACGGCGGCGTTCCCAGCCTAGGCAATCTCCGTGCCGTCGAGCACTCTAGGGTGCCTGGCTCATGCAAGAACAAAGCTGTGCTCGCCCTGACCATTGTCGATGCCATCAGACCAAGACACAGATGGGTGGCTTGGTGCATTTGGAGGGCCAGGATCAGGAGGGATAAATGAACACAAGCATGCGTAACCGCTGCTTTCCATGATGATCTGAGAAACTACGGTATGGGAAATTGGGGGGAAGAGCAACATTCAGGAAATATGGAAAATACAAAACTTATCAGAATCTGTATCGGTTCTTTTGTCTTTCCCGGGGCCCTTTTGCAGGAACCAAAGCGAGGCAGAAGGGCGCTTCCCGCACAAGAAGGAGACGCCCATCGACATGAGCTTCTGCCAGCTGCACTGTGTGAATGCCCACCTCGATACGCACCTGTGGTTTGACGTGATTCGCTTCTGGGACCGCGACCCACACCACAAGTGGCCGCTGCGGTACCCCGACCCAGAGCTCCTCAACGCTCCAACGCCTAGCAACTTCGACCTGACGTCCCACACGCAGTGGATGAGGAACCATGCCGCCCCTGGTGGAGCCTCAGGATACAGTTGCCCAAAGACCGTCCCGGGCACGGTGCCGAGCAAGCTGGCCATGCTCGGGGTGACAGGCGACAAAGTTCAAGGCGACAACGACTCTGATGAGGAGGAAGAGGGCGAGGAGGTTAGTGGCGACATGTAAGGCAGAGGTTCGTGATATATCTCACCCGTGCGCGATTCCGCTATTGGACGATCCAGTTTCCCTGACGGATCGTCGTTCGGGCGCTGATCACACGCGTACGGGCCAGACTATTATTCATTGACCGCGCGTGGCTGCGGAACAAATCTCGTCAACGCGCGTGTCAGCCTAGCCCAGTCTGGATATACCATTTTGTTTGGTATGGTACGCTCTGCTGCGATGGGCCGCAATACAGGGGGTCCTGCACGAACGCTGACTCTGCAATCACTGTCCCATCAAAGCTACATGGGACTCTGATTCTTATCATCGTCGATGTGTTGCGATGATGCTTTGTTCAAGATCCCGAGCTCTTTCGCCTTCTGCCTTCTATTCCAACCTGGTACAGTGAGCAGCGTGTATATGTATTTGATGAAGGCGGGACTGGTAATCAGCTGCTCATCATTTTCGCTGCTTTATGTCTTTCGATGGCAGAGCAGAGCCTCCCTGTTAAGGAGAAATATGAAGTGAGTAACTTATAGATGTGTGCCGACAACGTTCTGCTCATTCGCGCACGCACGCCTGCGCCCATTGTGCTCTGTGCCCTCGTCATGCGCCTCTTTCCCATCAATGTCTGATCCATGATCGTCGTCCTTGTCCCCGTTGCTCACTGTCATCGTCGCCATCTGTCTCTGTGTGTCAGCCAGTGTAGCGTCTTGTCCCTCAGAGGTCTTTCCCATCCCCCCGCCCCCTGGGAGGCCCTGTGGGATGTGGGTGCAGATCCTTGCGAGTTGGGTGGCCAACGAGGTGTCCCACGTCGGCCCTGCTGCCTCGAGCTGAGCGCTGGGTGCTGCACATGTGGTGGGCAGGGCCAGCGGGCGTGAGCGAAACGGCTCGCGCTGCTCCCGCGGGAGCTGAGGCCCTCCCTCCTGCTGCACTCCGTGCCTGGAGATCCGAGCCCTTCGCACCGGCGCGCACGGCGCCGGCACCGCAGCCCCCCCCGCCCCCTCAGCGGCACCGTCAGGGGGGGGCCGGGTTTTTGGCCCGATTTTCGGCTCGACGTCTCCCTCCCAGGAGCTGCGGCGGCGCGCCCAGGGGGGGCAGGCAGAGCGGACAGGCCTCGTCAGAGGGCTCAGAAGGCATCTGGCCTTCTGAGAAGACTTCTGCCTCGGCGCTCCGATAGTTCATGCCGTGTGGCGAAGCACGGCTCCGTGTAGATACAGGGCAGCCGCATGATTGCAAGGTCGCTGTAATAAGGACGTCATACGCGGGCCTCGCGAACCTGGCCTTCAAGCGCGTTGGGGCGCGAACCCTGACAGATCTGGCTCGCGTTCGGGACAACCGGGGGAAGACAATGGGATCGGCGGCGACAGTGTTTTTGTTGGTAGGAAGCGCTCAGCGTTAAGCTCATTTCCGGGCTCGTCGGACAGGTCCGACAACATGTTTTGTGCAACCCCCACTCAATGTTTAACTTTTCCGGGTTGGCCAGTAAAATTATCGGGTCGTTTTGGGAGCAAGCCCGATCGTTTTTCGGGTTATTCTTATGTGGTTTGCTCATTTCCGGGTCGGCGCACCGCTTTGGATTTTAAGTATTCGTTACGCTTCGCGTTATCCCCATTTGCCAACCCCAAACCAAACACCAGGCGAGTTACCCTGATCAGGGACTTGTAGCGTCCTGGTTGGGTGGTTGCCCGTCGTTGTCTGCGATGCCTGTAGTTAGCACGCCGTGCGTGCCCGCGGTTGCATTGGTACAGTACAGTGGCTGCCTGTCGTTGCTCGCCATGCGTGCGTTGCTTTGAGCGCGCGAACACCGACGGCGCGCGCGCCCGTCATGTGGCATTCTGGGAGGGGCGACAGGCAACCACTCAACCAAGGCAGACGCGGGAAGTGCGGAGCGACGACGACGACGACGACCATGACGACGCCGCCGACGACGACGATGACGACAGGAGTCAACCATCAAGGCCTCTGCAGATCTTTTGCCCTGGGAGCGTCTCGGAGACCTCTTGGAGCCTTTTTTGGAGGCCCACTGGGCCCTGGCTCGGGCCCCGCGTCCACGACCCCCGGATCACCTCGCCCCCCCGGTCCCCTGCTGCTGGTGGTGGTCTTGGTGGTGGTGGCGGTTGCGCGGGTGCGGCCCTTGCCTGACGCGAGGGATCTCCCCTTCTCGTTTTTGCCCTCCACTCTCTTCCGTCCATAGGCCGGTGCTGCGCGTACTGACGGCGGCGGGCCGTGTTGCACCCGTCGTAATTTGCTCGTGTTGGGTGGCTTCTCGAGGCCGTCAGTCTCTTGATGTCGCTCGGACGAGTGCCTTTTTCTCGGTGTGGACCGTCGAGGAGTATCTTGGATCATCTTGCGACGAGCCGAAAAAATACGCACGAAACCGAAACATGCACGGGGAATGGACGTCCGAGCGATGGCGAGATCTGGGCGGCGTCCCCTTCGGCCGCCTCGCGTCTAGACGTGCCGGCGCCGCCGCAAGCTTGGCGGCGCGCCCATGCTTCTTCTCAGCAGCAAAGGCTCCAGCATCTTGCTGCTGTTCATCTGGTGTGTGAAGCCTTGGGGGCCCCCTTGAGGCCATCTTGGAAGCCATCTGTCAAAGGAGGGGGGGTACTCAAGTACGTCCCGCCCCCCCCTTTGGACCCGAACATTAGCCTCTTGAGGCCCTCTTCGGGCGCTCTGTGGTGCTCTTGGGGCCGATTTGGGGCCATCCTGGACCCGTCTCGGAACCCTCTTGGGCCATCCTGGAGCTGCCTTGAGGCCCCAAGAGCCCATCGGAAGCGAACAGGCGAGAAGGCTAACAACATTGAAACATATTTTGAACCATGTTCTGATGAGCGATCTTGGAGGCCATCTTGGGCTCTTTGGGGCCCTCTTGGAGACACCTGGGGCCAACAGGGACCCTCTGACACCTCGCGGGGGGGGGGGGTCCAGACCCAGGGGGAGAGGATAGCAGGAGGGGGAACCCCCTTCCCGACGGAGAAGGAGGGTACCAGAACGAGCTCCTTAGACCACTCACGCCCAGAGGGCTGGTAGGACTTCACGCTGAGAACCGAAGCCCGATCCCGGATGGGGGGGGGGGAGGCCTTCACCACTTCTTCTGCCTCCGGCCGGATGTGGCTTGAGGCGACGTCTGGCCGGCTCTTTCAACACCTCTGACTACTTTCTCGGCCTCCGGCCGAGGGCGTCCACGGCAAAGGCACCGCGCCGCCAACAACCACAACGGATGGGGGGGGGGGGCGAATGCTGGGCTGAGAGTGTGCCGGGCCTCGGCGGCCAAACGGGACGGGGCGCCGACCCTGACCACAGACCCCATCGCTGCCTCCGCCCTCGCCCTCCGAGCGGTTCCCCTCGGCTGCCTTCGAGCGCGCGCCGGCCCAGAGGGTCACGAGATGCACCGAAGGGAGACGTGGGGAAGCTTTCGGGTCGGCACGGTGGGCCTGCTCCGAAGACGGAGGTGGCTTCTCGGAAGTCAGATCCCGCCGCCTTCTGAGAACGGGAGGCCACATGCGAACCTTACCCCACCACCCCACGATTCCTAAGGGGGGATGTGGGGTTCGCTTCGCTCGAGAGGTCCCGAAAGAAGTGACCCCCATCTCCCCCCTTAGAAATCGTGGGGTGGTGGGGTAGGGTTCGCATGTGGCCTCACAGGGAAGGCCTGCTCCCTCTCGCGTCCCCCCTCGGCGCGCCGCCGACGAGCTGGTGCCCCCACGGCCAGGAGCTTCTGGTCAACGCGTGTCGCGCTGCTGGTCCTGGCCGACCACGCCGTGGCGCGACACGCCATCCACGCTCCGGCCCCCGAGCGTCAAGGTCCCGAGCCTTCCAGAGCCCCCCGCCCCGCGGAGCGGAGCGACGTGCCATCCGCTTGCCAGGCACAGCGTGTCGCCGGGGCTGCCGCCGCGACGCCGCGCGGAGCAAAAGTGCACCCCCGCCCCCGACAGAGGAGGCGCTGAACGAAGGGCCGCGTTGGGTTCTGGAGGGGTTCTTGAGAGTTTCGTGGCGTTCCGGTCGCGGGGCCCACTCGCGGCCGAGGCCTGCGATGGCCAGAGAGTTCTCTTTTCGTTCCTTGCTCCGCGCTCTTCCTGGCAGCGTGATGACCAGGAGGGAAAAAACACAGACACAGTTCATCGTCGATTCCCCGGAAAATATGCGAACATCTGGGAAGTGGGGGGGGGAAAGACGAAACTCCAAACAAGTATGGGAACACATGGGGGGCCCTGAGGTTTGTGCGTGTCTGTTTGTCTGTCCCTGGGCCCCTTCAGATGCCCGTGCCACTCCCCCCTCGCCCTCGCGGCCAGTCGGGCCCCTCCCCCCCGCCCTGGCAGGCGGCCGCGCCCTCTCTGCCCCGCCGCCTCCCCTGCTGCAGCCCAGCACCGCACGCGCACGGCACGGCGAGGGAGGGCGCGGCCCCTCCGGCAGCCCCGCCCGCTCGCGCCTCCTCCCCCGGCACCTCGGGGGGCGGCCGCGAGGGGGGCCACGGAGCGCACGCCTCGACGAAGGAAAAAAGCACGGCACACGCCGCCGACCGTCGGAGTTCCGCTCGGATGCTTTCCGGGAGCTGCGCCGGGCCCTCTGGCGGCGCGTGCGGCGCCGCCGCCCCCGGCGCGCCCTGCGCGCCAGGGGAGGCCTCGGAGGGGGGATGCGGCGCCGGTCCAGGGAATCCGCGCGGGCCGTCGGAAGTCTGTGCTTATTCCGCTGCGTGCGCTTCAAGATTAACCAGGCAGAATCGGCGTCGCGCCGCGGGAGGCGTGCGCCTCGCCTTCCAAAGTTGATGCCGGCGCGTCGAGGTGCGAGGAAGTCTCAGGCGGGAGCCCCCTCCCTATGGGGCCCGCAGATCATGTTGGTAATCCGAGCGGGTCATCGGAACCCTGTAACTGTCGTCACTTTTGGGCTCGTCAAGCCTGAATTTGGAGGAAGTCTCTGGCGGGAGCCTCGTCTTTGAGTGAATTGTGAAGAAGTCTCAGGCGGGAGCCCCCTCCCTATGGGGCCCGCAGATCATGTTGGTAATCCGAGCGGGTCATCGGAAC